TGCTATTCCTATTCTTCTTCTGGAAAAACGAAAGAACGCTTCAAAACAGACTGCAGCGCCATCTGAAGCAAAGAGCATACTTCCTGCGGACACTTTTTAGGCTTAGTGGCCCATCTTGTCTTGTACTATCTTTGATCATAATAATATTACATTATACAGAGCGGGTAGTAGTAAGAGGGCGCCACAGGTAGATTCTATACTTCTGTGATCCTTTTGTTTTCTTTCCTGCCTGCCTTTCTTCTTTCTCCCATCGCTAGATATCTACGTGACCGGTGTCGCGTTTCTTTTTCACTCTAACTCTTTGTGATGTGAAGTCAAATCTGTTCGTGTACCAGTATTTTATAGTTTTTGATTTTAGTAAAGGTTTAACGGCGCTCCCAACGGCATAAGGTCAAATGAGCGCCAGAAGATTAGAGGTGTTACAAGAGAGTAAAAAAACATAAAAAAGAAGAAGGGAAGATAAGGACAACAGACGTACCAGTGTTTTTAAAGTTCAATAAGTTTAAATATTGGCGTGAGCAATAATTATGGTTTCCGGCCGCTGGAAGTTAAAATCACAAGATTCCAACTTTTGAAGACTATCATAAGATTTCGGCAACCAAAAGCAAGAGGAGTGTTGACTTTTTTATCTGCTTGTTTGTCGACCTACTTGTTTATTATTGTTTTTTGTTTGTTTGTTTGTTGTTTTTGTTTGCTTGTTTGTTTGTTTATTTGTTTGTTTGTCTGTTTGTTTGTTAGTTAGTTTGTTGTCGTTGTTTGGGTTGGGTTTTTTAGAGGGGGAGATTGTTTGTACGCCTACCTTTTTTTCTTGTGGATTTTTTTAACGTTTGGACCATGTTTACTTCACTGGAGCTGCCTGACCATACTTGCTTCATGCGTTTTGATGCGAGTTTAGTCTCCATGGTCAAGTGTTATTGCTGGGCGCGTTTTCTTACTCTCAAAAGACACTAAAGAGACCACAGGACGTGTACTGTTGACTTCAATTTGGACCAACTCTTCGCTACGTTTGAGGTTTCTGAGGTTCGAATCAGAGAGGAAAACGTTTCCTCTCAACCAGAGGGCCTGTCGAAAGACCAATGTAAAGGCTTTTGTTTTTGTAGGAGTTTAACACCTCACTTGACACAAAAATGGATAATGGGATCGACAAGAGTGGTTGGCGGTTTGGGGAGCGGGGGGGTCGCTACTGGTAGATTCTGTTGGTTTTTTTCAACATACACGTATTCCTGTATTCCTCTGTTTGCTCTGTCTGTTTCGCTTTTTCTCTCAGTACTGAAAATTACATGCGGAGTCTACACGTGCTTTTCATTGTTCGGAAACTGAGAATTTGGTTTGCTGGAAAGATGAGGAAAGGATATAGAAGGAAAGAATTCAGAAATGATTTATTAAAGTACAATGTATGAAGTATATATATATGTTGACTTCTTTGTATTTAGGAAACCTGCACTTCCTTCTGGTATACTGTGTATCCGTTTATCATTCACTTACCCACTAGAGTCTACCCAAAACCGGTGCATGTGTGTGTGTGTGTGTGTGTGTGTGTGTGTGTGTGTGTGTGTGTGGGTGTGTGTATATGTGTGTGTGTGTGTGTGTGTGTATGTCTGTATGTATGTGTGTGTGTGTGTGTGTGTGTGTGTGTGTGTGTGTGTTTTTGGAGTGTGTGTGTGAGAGGGTGAGAGGAGGTAATAAAAAAGGTGCTCTAATCATGTTTACTGGGAGGAGACCCATATCCAAAAACTGCTTAATTTTTTTATGATTCAGAAACCAAACCAATCTAGTAAAAAATAACTTTAAATGCTATCTTCAATTATCTTGCCTCTTGTGTTATGTAATAGTACTGAAAAGAGTGAAACTATTT